TTTACTCAAACACTTTTACCCCCTTCCTTTTCCTTTTCTTTGTAATACAAGTCAATTTATCTCTCTGTATTAAAAAAGAGGAGTGGACTGGTTCAGCAGTAATGGAGCAGTTTCATTTAGCTGTGAATGTCTTGTGAGACAAAAATCTATCATGCTCAGAAAAGAACAGGCTTTACAGCCTGTTCCTTGTGCCACCAGACAAATGCTTCCTCTCTCTCCTCACCCAGCCTCCAAGAATAAATAATAAATGTATGGAGAAACTGTCCAAGAAGCAAAGCAGCGAGCAGAAATGCATCCCAGAGGGGCAATGAAGTAAATAAAGCTATATTCATCTTCCTGGAAATGCCCTGCTACAAGATAATAAAAAAAGGAGGTAGGATCATTTCTTGTCCTCCAGTTTTAACAAGATTCTGAGGAGATCTGTTAAGCTTTCATGATGTTAACAAAACTACCTGAATACAATAATGCAACTTATTTATGCTTTCTTGGACAAAGGTCTTTTTGGCTGGCACAACAGAGAAGTATTTAGAAAATAGTGGGTGGAGACATTTGGATTTTACTTTGGGATGAATTCCAGGTCTGAGAAACCAGCTTGCTGCTCTCCCATTCCCTGCTCAGTCACATGCAATACAAACTGGCTCTTCTTTATTTCACAACAGATTATTGAGTTTGCTCCTTCACTGTCCACCAGCTGTTATTACTCCCTCTAGCACTTGTGCCAGCACTTCCTTCAGAGACAACCCCAAATGCACTGGAATTAGTAATATGGCTCACAGGACTAAGAAGGAAATGTCTAGCCAGAGTAAGTGACAACAACTAGTCGGGTCTGCCAATGATAGATAGATGTTTGCTGGAAGGAACATGCTTCACCTAAAAAGGCTTGGATATGTAAGGGGACACTGCGGAAATGAGTAGACCTGGAGGAGACCTAAAGGAAAGCAACAGAAAATATAGATAGATTCAAATCTCATTTGATTGATTGTTCATATTTAGACATCCAAGCTAAAAGAACCCAAGTAAATTACAACAGCAACGAAGAAGTCAGTTTTAACAACAACAAAAGAAGTAATCAACCAGACCATTCCTTGTTTGAGATATTTCATCTTGCTGAGTCAATGATACTCTCAAAAATATGTTTTAGGTCACTAGGTTATGACACTGGAGGGTTTCAAAAGAAAATTGGGTGGGTTCTCCCTCAGACATTTTGCTACTGAGTGCACAGCATGGCTTAAGCCATGCAGAAGGCTATGTGAACTGCCGAAGATAGTGGCACTTGGGAAACGTGGATCTTATTCTCTGATTTCCCTCAGCAAGTGCCTTTCAACCTGCTATTTTTCTCTTTCCTGACGTGACTGGAAGCTTTTGCAGTATGTGGGCTTTCTCAGTAGGTTTACCTACTGTCCAGTGTAGTGGGATCCCAACTCGCTACTAGGGTCTTTGCTAGCATGTAAAAGAAGATGACAAAGAGTATTTCAAAGGAAGCTGCTCTGCTGGAAGACTGAAAGCAAGAAAAGAAAACAAGCACTCAAAGGTGTCCCAAAGTAGCACCAGTTTTGAGTCAAAAGGAAAAAACAAACAAAGAAAATTAAATAAAGAAACAAACAACAACAACAAAACCACAACAAAAAAACAATCGCAAGATTAAGCCAAGTACTTCTGGCTAGACTTTTTCATCTCACTGCAAAGCAGAGCAATCTTTACAAAATGATAAAGCCATAAAAGGCTGTGGTTGTTTCTTTTAAATGAACCAGAGCAGAGATGGTCTCCTCTCATACTATCACAAAGGTCAGAATTAGCCACCCCTAAGACTAGCAGGTTCTTGAAATGTTCAAGTGCTTGTATCTTGTCGTTATGACTAATCCACTCTCCAGAACAAGAAAGGTCAAATGAAGAACACTCCTCCAAATAGTGCAACAACTCTTTGCCATGGCTGATGTGTAATGTGCTCCAACGCGGTGTCAACAGCTGCTCCTGAAAACCCAGTGAGTCAGCCTTTCAGAAGAGCTTGTCAGCTCTCACTGTTTGAGTTTTCATACAGATTATATTTACTCCCCAGTGTTTAAAAATAGCCTTCCTAAACCTTGAAATCATAAAATGTTTTACTTCCAGAATTGTCCTCTCCCTGAGACACCCAAGCATCTCTCTCATGTGAGAGCAAACCTTCCTAGCTCTTCTTTCATCTACTTTTCCCTTCACACGCTGACAACCAAACCAAAGGCAGGCCGCAGTATCTGAAGCCACATACAAGTAAAGAACTTCTGTCTCCTTTCACAACTTTTACCTTCAAACCACAGTCAGTCCTCCAGCACTGTGAGGTTAAGTGATCTGCTCAGCAGATAGAGTACAGAGATGATGGTTGACTTGCCTTTGGTCCTAACCACGTAGGCACGTATCCCCTATTCTAATCACCAACCTCCCTTGCATGCTGTCATTTAAATAAGAAGGCCTATTGGAAATGACAGGTGAAGAAAGCAGTCCAGGCATGAAATGCACCCTAAAGTATATTAATAGAAGGCTGCCAGACAAAACAGCACAAGGCATTTGATCGCATCATCTAGGCTTGTTGTTCATGCTCCTCTGCATCTGTCTGCGTGATTTCTGCCAGATTCTCAGCTGGAGGAGCAGGCTAGGATTTGCCTGCTTCCCCTAAACCGGGCCGGGCTCAGCTGCAATCATGCAGAGCACTGAAAGAAATCCCTTTGAGTTGGGATTCATTCTGAACATGTAAAACCCAGACAAATGACTGCTTCTCCAAAGTGAATCCCATTTCACAGCAAGTAGGTTATTAGTGTGGAACTCCATACAAGTAGCCTGCATTCAAAAGCCCTCTGCATTATTAATAGAAGATGAGCTTTTGACATCAAAGGAGAACCATTATGTATGCTAAATGGTGGCAAAAATTGTACCCGCACTTCAAACCTTTTCAATTCTTTGTCCCTTGTAAATCAATCAAGGTTGACAGATGCTTTAAGGAGAGTAATCTTTTCAATGATACTGTCAATGGATAACATAATGGAACATTGTCTCTGTGCTGTGTGAAGACATGGAGCTAGTCAATTATGGACAACACTTCATGCAGCCGCCAGTTTTCACTTGAAGTGCTGCTGTTGAAGTATTATAATCCCAACAAATGGCCGCAGCAGCACACAATGTAAATGAGACCTCCTGAAGCTTTGGAAAATTAATTAGTAACAACAGTGGTCCATTCCCACACTTTCAAACACCCGCCTGGTAATGTTAACGATGCACTTCCCCCCTTCCCTTTGAGCAGTCAATAGGGCATATTTACATACACTATTTTTAATCTTCAACACTTTTCTTTCCCTTCTTTTAGAAAACATAGGAAGCTCTGGATTCTTTTCCTCTCTTTCCAGCAGCAATATTCACCCCTGATATTTCTAACTAGTCATATAACCCACATGACTGAAGCTGAAAAGAAGGGAACAGAAACTTTCCCACTCAGAGCAGTAATATTCACTCCTCTTGCTTCCCAGACATGGGACACTTCATGGCTGTCTCCTTTTCCAACATCTCTATACCCTCAGCTGTCCTGGTAAGAATGACTTGGCTGGATGGTAGGGGAAAGGCTTCTGGGCTTCAGAGATCAGTAGAATGTGGGTTGGAAGCTCAGCAGTCCGAGTATAACACCAAAGTCAAACTGTGGTGCTCTAGACATAAAGATGCATGTCTGATAGCTGGTTTCTACAAAAAGGAGATTGAGAGTCAAAGGGTAGAGACTGCTCTGTATCTTTACCTATTGGTTTCCATTTCCTACTTTCCTCCTTTGAGAAATCATTTTCTCAAAGATTTTCCCATTGTCAACTGAGACTTCCACTAAGAGGAACACAATCTCCCACAGTAACTGAGAGAAATCCCACCATGAAGAAAATGGTCTTTTTCCCAATTATAGCAAATGTTGCTGTGCAGACTCAACTACTTTTTCGTCTGATGTTAGATTTTGTTTCTCTAGAGCTAAACACTTGGAATGTTTCTCCACCACTACTGCCATAGGCTACTTGAGATGACTCTGCAGAAGAGGCAGGCACTATGCCCAGCTGGAGAAGACTCATGCTTCTCTCTCTGTATCAGGAGGATGAAGTATTAGCAAGAATGGGATAACAGAGACTGAGAAAATATATAGTGGGTAGCAAAAGTGGGTAGAAACATAACAGATGTAAAACCAGGACCTAAAAAGTAGGTTCTTCCACTCCTTTTTGCTTGGTGCAGGAATCCAAGGTGATTTTAAAATGAATTTGTTCCTACCATATGTGCCAAATGTCACTCACTGCCCTTCCTCCTGATCACTGACAGTCGCCCTAAATCCACCAGCTTCTCCAGAGCAACTACAACAAGTGTTGGATAAAGATCTTTTCTCTCTATTTGAAGCTCACTCCTGAGATATATATATCCTCTACCACTTCATTTATAGGAGCTTGCCATCTATTTCCAACTCTCAAGGATAACTACACACAAACTTTCTTCTAAGTTACAAGACACATATTGAGCAATTGCAGGTTTTCTTGAAAAATGTTTTTCCATAGTAGGATCAAATAGTTTTAAGAGCATATATAACCTTTGTCACAACTTGCAACAGAAAATTATCCAACCGTTTTCATCAAGTTTATTTTTCTAACCTCTACTTGATATTATACCATTATTTAAAGCACACAAGTCAAAAGTCTGTGAATGTAATGTAATATAAACAGTGAAATACTAAACCTGATGCACTGCATCAAAAAAATCTTCTGATAAAGATTAAATGTACTAATAAATCAGAACCAAAGGTTATAATGTGGAAGACAAAGAACTTGCTTCTAACAATGTACATGAGATCACATCGTACCACTTTGGGAGAAAGTAAGAGGAAGGATAATGGCAAATCACAACTAAAATTTAAAATAGTCCTATATTCATATTAAAATTAGTACAATTCAATTAAATTAGAAATTTATCATCAAAAATAAACTGGACACACACAAAAATGAATTAAGATAACTTACGTAAGAGAAATCTTCAGCATTCTGACAGAGCAGCCTGGGGAAAACAGCCTGTCGCTGAAATCTTTCCTCGTTTTCAAAGATGTTCCCATACATGAAGCCATTCATCATGGTAGAGTGCGCATGGATGTCAATGTAGAACTCCAGGTTAATCTTCTATTAAGGGGGAAAAAAGCAGATAAAAAATAAAACACCAACAAACCATGAGATAAATCATAACTGTGGTATGTAGGTTATGCCTTCTGTAAATCTACTACTGCCATCCACAGATATATCCATGTTGCCAATGCCGGGTAGCCATAATAAAGACACTCTATTATTGCATCCAGCCATCACACCTTCTTACAGAACCTTGACAGACATTTCTCTATCTGTCCTGAACAGGCTGAAACATTTATGCAGCACAGGATAACATGCAAAATAAAGCTAAGGCATTCTTCTTTGCATTGCCACAGGGTCAGTGCCATTGATAAAAATATGTACCTTGCAGTTCCAGGGCAAGATTGTTAAGGCATTACTGCGTGGCTGTGTGTTACAGTACACAAATCTATCCTTTCTAGCAGCTCAAAACTGTGTAAGTAAGAATTCCTTCAAGATTTCCCATGTAGTTTATTTCTGTTTAGACAAATACCACAAATTTCTAATCCCGCTTTACACATGGAAATTTATTTTACTCTGCTTTGTAGCATCCAACAGAAAAAAAAATATCATAATAAAGTGCTGTGAACGCCTCTGCTTGTAGCAACCCTTGCCAGTAAAATGCAATGTGCAGCTCTCCAGACACATCTGGTCTGCACACAAAAGTTGCTCAGGCTACTGGAGAATACTGAGCTACATATCAGTTGAATGTATTACAAAAGCAGTTCATGTGACAGCAGTGTCAGCTCTTCTAGAGAGTCTCTAATGGGGGGAGAACATCATTTGGTATGTGATACTAATATGATACAGATTTACGTTCCCTTGGCAGAAAACCAATGTACAATACACACTGAATGTTTAGTTTAATTAAACAGCCTAGAGAGAGTAATACTGCATCTTATTAAGCCTCTCCAATGTTAAGATGTTAGCTAAGGCAATATCAATATCTGACCATGCTTCATAGGAAAAGAACATTTAATTGTATTTGACTCTAAAACAATAAATTGTCTGCTAGTGCCAAAACATTTTGCTGTGCTGTAGAGGACCAACAGGGCAATAAAGCATACATCTGCAATTTGGAGATATAGCACTAAAGAGAAAGATTAGCATCGACAGGATGAAACACCACATATGATTTTCTTCCTCTCCAAACATGCACAAATTAAAAATTAAGACTGAATAATGTTGTTGTTTTTTTTTTTCCATGAGATAATATCCCCATCAGAAACAGCATTTGTTGAGATCAAATGTACACCTTCCCATCACCATAAAACTGATTGTGTTGTAGACTTCAAACAGTGACTTAGTGTTGAAGGGAGGAGATAATCTAGTTGCAGTGGGTATTTATAAAGCATGAACGTCCTTCACAAAGAAGTCAGTGACCTAAGACATGTTTATTCTAGAACAACTAGAAAGAGTTCTTCATAGGGACGTAGTTAGTAATGTAAAATAATTGAGAAGCACAGCAAGATATACCATAGACTAGTATCATTTGTGTCTTAAACAGTACAATTAAAAGTGCTGGCTTAGGTGGTATAATCTGTGCTAAAGTATCATATGATACTTCTTCATCCATAGTTCTCAAAAGAACTTCCAAAAGAAACAAACAAATGCACAGAAGCACAGATCAGTCATACAACTTCCCATGTGGCTATTAATTCTGTGATTCTGTGATTATCTGGCAAAAAACCTACACCTGTAGAATATGTGTAAGTGGAACCCCAGCTTAGCTTTGATTTGACCAAGTCAACCAACCTTACACAGTATCAATAGACAATTTTCCAAAGTCTCAGGATTCTTACTAAGAAGCTACTGGTAAAGGTGTTCAGGGGAATTTTAGGTAGTCTCTTGGCAGTACTGAGGTTTTTTTTTAAGATCTGTCTTGTTTATCAAAAACATTTTATGGTGGTTATTATTTGTGAGCAAACACTGCCACAGAATCATAGAATTGCTAGGGTTGGAAAAGACCTTCAAGATCATGAAGTCCAATCGCAACTTAACCTGTTCCTGCACAGGCAGCACCTTGACCTAAAGATTAAATTTCCAGATTGCTCATTTGGAAACCATGACATTCAACATAGAACTCATCACTTAGACAGGTGATCAAACATTTATCCATCTTGAGCATTCTCCATTATGGAACAGAATGACTTGGTCCACTGTTAATATATCACGGGTTCCTAATGGCAAAATTCTCTTATTCAAAGGCATAGAGATATTCTGGCCTCCATGTGGTTGACAACAGCTTACCACTAGGATATTAACTCGAAGTAACTACGTTTGCAAACATGTTCTGCAGAAGAAATAGGATAATCTGCAGAACAAAAATGAGATGTGGTGAATTTTAAAGGGAAAATGAAGTCAGTAAATGTACATGTCTGTTCAAATGTGCAGACATGAACACACTTAGAACATAATCCAATCTAATCCACTGTTGAAACCCATGGACATTTGACAGTATCCACTCAGCAGAACCCATCCTGGCTATGGCTTCTAATGCTGTAGCATCTACAAGTGAGAATGGGAATAAAGTTTGATGTGTTTGATAGTTACATTTGCTTCAGCTTTTAAGCAGAAAATAATGAATAACGAAGCTCAAACATTTCCGGCTGCCATTACTGCCTTCTCAGAGACTACAAGTTACATCCTACAATATCATATTAAACTCATCATTTTCTGCTTTAGAGGTGGAATGCAAAATGATTCAGATGCCTTATAAGAGTCATCTATCAATTTAATTCCCCCAAGTGTCTTTTCTTTGTGCTTACAAGCAGCAGCAGAGAGCTTCTCTCTCATGCTCTCTTTTTTAAGTAAACCTATAATTACCTGGATGACCCGAGCACACAGAGTTGAGAAAACAAATGCAGCTCTGCTATTTCTTTCCTCTGTGTGTCAAAACAATCACTAGATTGACAACGATTGAACCCCACTTCCTAGAAAACAACAGTTAACATCCTCTGCTTTGAAAAAAATGGTCTTTGCCTCTTCTTGATGCTTACTATATAAAAAGAGAGTAAATGAATAAGCAAACAAATTCCTGCTCCAAAGTTTATTTGAATCCCTGCCTTTATGACACATTCTTTTCACTGTTCTCTTGGGTCAGAATAAAACTTCTGACAGCTTGAGAAATGCACATACAAATTAGGGAGGGGAAAACGAAAGAAACTATGGATAGAGAATGAAAACTCACATTCACTGTTACGATGTGAAACAGTACTGAAACTGTAAACTGGTGTGTGATACCATGTGAAGTGTTTTAAGAAAGTGTTCTCACTTGTCTGAGTATTAATTTCATTAGTCAGATGCCTTTAGAAGGTCAGTAAGGAGCAAAAGAAAGAGTGATGTTAATAGCCAGTGCCAATATGACCAAAATTGGATTTTTGAACAGTACAATTATGATTCTTAAGGAAATAGAAATAAAAAAAAAATCAATAAAGGCTGTAATAAAAAGATAAATATGCATTGAGCCCAGAACATGGGCCACTAGAGAGGTAAGTGATGCAGGAAAAAGCCAGCTCTGTCCACCAGCTGTCTCTCCAATATGGATATTATTAATTTTTGGACGTAGCAATTGGTTTAGACACAGTCCCAAAGCCTTCTTTAGTCCAATATATCATACAGGGGATGGGATAAACTCCTTGCAGTGTTTTATGCAAGACATTAAAACCATAGCTTGTCGTTAGTGGTAGAGGACATAACAGCCTCCAGGCACACCATCCAGCCTTACTGCTCAGTCACTGTTTGAAGCAAATAGACATATAGCAGTTGGCACCACATAAGGAGTTTGTGCTTTTTTGGTCAGAAAGGATTCAGAAGTTCTGAGAACACCTGCTCTTTGAAGTTTCCTCAGGTTTAGAGTCTCTCAAAAGAAAACTGTGCAAAGATCTCACACATATGTCTTCAGATATGTACCATATAAACCCCATGATAATATTTTGGCAGCTCCTACATGTGATACCAGAAAACTTAAGCACAACAAGCTAATAAGACAAACCAAGGAAAACTGATTATTCAGCATCACATGTTCAGCAACCGACATTCAGCTAGAAGACATCAGTCCTTGCCTTCTCAGCTACAGGGCACTCTGCCCAGCACCCTGATTCACTCTAGAGATGCACAACACCCATCTATCACTGACTACACAAGAGAACATCAGGCAAATTTTGGGCGGTCTGGATATGATTTGTATTTTCAAACTTCCCCTGAAATATCCAGATTTGGATGAGGTTAATTGTGCTGAAATCACTTTTCTTACTTCTACCTTCTTACACATTTCTCTGTAAACCTGATAAGGCTAGTATAAAGCCTCAAAAAAAAAAAAAAAAAAAAAAAAAAAGTTCATTCTATAACTTCTGGAGCAAGCGATGCCCACAGTGTCTTCTCCAATTCTGCAGATGATACATGTAAGCCATGCACTATTAGAGGTACTATTTCAGAGACATGCCACTACCCCTTTGTAACCACAGAGGCAACCTCATCTTTCCCCTTCCATTCATCACCACTGTCCAACTCTATGGCAATGGCAGCAATTATTTACATAAGCAATTAATAGTAGAAAAGTGGCTTACTATTTTTAAAAAACTTCTAAACTTCTACGTTTAAAAAGTATCTCCTCTTCTTGCTTCTAGTGAATGGGAATATGTCAGTTTAGATACACTCTTATTCTTACTGACATCAAGCACAGAAGTCAATTTCTCCTTATTCTTATAGATATAGACCTTTGCACAACCTGAGAATGTCTTAAGTGTTCTTGAAAAACAGCTTGCAAAATGTGCATCAACGTTTGTGTAATCTACTAGCAGTTCTTCATGACGTTTCATTCATTTCTTTTCAGATTGTTTCAATAATGTTCTGAGAGCTGTTGTTTTACAGAGTGGACTAGTCCAAATCAGCTGTAATTTAGAAGTCATTATTTACCCATCTGATTACACGCCAATTTCTCTATCTGAATTATACTTCTTAATAATAGGCACAATCTGACATGAGTCAAAGAGGATAGAGACTTCTGTTGGCTCCAT